ACCTGGGTAGCTCAGTCGGTTAAGTGGATCAAGCCCTGCATCAGGCTCCTTGCTCAGCAGGGAGCCTGCTTCTCCCTCTCCCCCTCTGCCTGCCACTACCCCTTCTTGTGCTCTCTGTCAAATAAATAAATTCTTAAAAAAAAAAAAAGATAAAATGTTCTATTAGGCAATACACAAGGCACGAGCACATGAATATTGTTTTCATCTAATAATTCATCTTCAACCAGTGAGAGTAGGCACTGTTTCAGAAAATTATCACTTGTGACCCCCTTCTACCCTTGCCATACTTTTTTGGTCTAACTTTTAAAATACTCCGTGCCCTTATGGCCATGTTGCCTTCAAAGCTGTGAAGAGATGAAACAACTAAATGAGTTTTCTGTGCAAAAACTCCTGATGTCATATTAATCATGTATGATTTAATTTGAGTGAGGTTATCAATTCTGGCCTAGTGACATCTAGATAAAAGCAGGCTCAGAACAAAAAGAAATATACCCACCAGTCAGATTTAATAGACAGAAGAAAGTGGACCAAATCGAGTCCTAAAGAGAGGAGGTCCCGGAAAGCCAGCGTGGCACAGAGGTTACGTGCTCTGGAGTTGCAGTCTGGCAGTAAGGTTTAAAACCTGGCTCTTCTACTTATGGCCTGTATGACCGGAAGCAATTAATTTATCCCCTTGGAGCCTCCGCTTCTTCCCATACACATTATAGTATCTTCCCTATATAAAGCCCTTGCAAAGTGCAGGCATACCTCATTTTATTGTGCCTCACTTTATTGCACTTCACAGATACTCCCGTTTTTAACAGATTGAAGGTTTGTGGCAACCCCGTGTCAAGCAAGTGTATCGGTGCCATTTTCCCAACAGCATTTGCTCACTTTGTGTCTCTGTGTCACATTTTGGTAATTCTTGCAATTGTTCAGACTGTCTCATTATCACAGTATTTGTCATGGTGATCTCTGATCACAACTCACCTCACTGAAAGCTCAGATGATGGTTAGCATTTTTTAGCAATATTTTTTAATTAAGGTATGTACGTTGGTTCTTAGACATAATGCTATCACACATTCTGTCAACTACAGTATAGCGTAAACCAAACTTTTACATGCACTGGGAAACCAAAAAATTCATTTGACTCACTTCATTATGATATTCATTTTATTGCAGTGGTCTGGAACCAAACCCATAATATCTCTGAGGTATGTTTGTACTTCCTAATTGTCAATTATTATTATTAGACCAAGGAAGGACTTCAGAAGGAAAATTATTTTTAAAAGCACTAAATGTAGGGGCCCTGGGTAGCTCAGTCGGTTAAGCATCTGACTCTCGGTTTCAGCCCAGGTCATGATCTCAGGATCTTGGGATAGAGCCTTATGTCAGGCTCCGCACTTGGAGGGGAGTCTGCTGGAGATTCTCTCTCCCTTTCCCCGTCTCCCTCTACCCCTCCCCCTGCTTGCGCACACACTCTCTCTTTAAAATAAAATAAACCGGGGCGCCTGGGTGGCTCAGTCGGTTAAGTGTCTGCCTTCAGCTCAGGTCATAGTCCCAGGATCCTGGGATCGAGCCCCACATCGAGCTCCCTGCTCAGTGGGGAGCCTGCTTCTCCCTCTCCCACTCCCCCTGCTTATGTTCCCTATCTCGCTCTCTCTGTGTGTCAATTAAATAAATAAAATCTTTAAAAAAAAAAGTACTAAATGTAGGCATTTGTTCTCTACAGTGTTTTCCAGGCTAGCTAAAACCTGAAAACAGCTTGCCCAATAATTAAGGAAAAGGTGATTTACCTACTTGGTAAAATATTCTGTAGCTGTTAAACACTTTAACAATGAAGACTATGTAGCAATATGGAAAGCAATGTAGCAATACTGGGTGATACTGAAGGACAGCAGAGACAGAAGACATGGTCCTTCGGCAATAGTTAGAGAGCCAAATAATTAACAGTGTGAGGTGTCATAGGATTGAGAGTTGAAAGTACTGCTATGCAATCATGACTGTACACCTGAAACTAATTTAACACTGTATGTTAACTATACTGGAATTAAAAAAAAAAACTGGTACAGACTAGGAGTGATTCATAAATTTGTGTGGGATATGGAGGCCTGGATAGGTCAAGAAAGAGTTCTGGAGCAGGTAGAAACTGACCTAGGCCTGGAAGAATGGATAGAATTTGTCAAGTATGGAGGAAAGCCTACTGCAGCTAGAGGGCACAAAAGGAAGCTCCACTGTGTAGAGGGAGGAATGTACAGAGATGAGTTAAGAGATTTGAGGTTATGGCCAGAGAAGGTCATAAACTGGGGTCACACTCATTTAGAACCCTGAATGCCAGGCTGAGTTGTCTGAACTTTATGCTATAAGCCCTTTAAACACACAGAAAGCAACATAGGAGGAAAAATTAGAAGCATGGATACTGCTGAAAAGCAGTAATCTAATCCCTCATAAGGAGACGAGGGGCTGAGCTTTGGGGACAAACGGGAGAACTGGAAGCAAGGGGCTGCTACAAGGAATATTTAGAATGTCGCACCATTTCTTTTGTCCTTTTTTTTTTTTTTTTTGGAAGATTTTATTTATTTGACAGAGAGAGAGACAGTGAGAGAGGGAACACAAGCAGGGGGAGTGGGAGAGGGAGAAGCAGGCTTCCCGCAGAGCAGGGAGCCCGATGCAGGGCTCGATCCCAGGACCCTGGGATCATGACCCGAGCCGAAGGCAGATGCTTAACCGACTGAGCCACCCAGGCGCCCCTCTTTTGTCCTTTTAACTCACGTGGCTTCCCCCCACTCCCCTGTCTTCCCATTTATTTCCTTTCTGGACTGCTATGGGCTACCGATTTCTACTGACCTAGAGCTCTCACCAGTTCCTCTCATCCCCTCAACAGGTATCTGGTCATACCTCCAGCCCTGCATCTGCACCAGGCAGTGTGGAAGGAAGCTTTTGCTGGGAAACAATGACCAGAACCCGACAGGGAAAGATACTTCTTTCCCACCATTTCCATCAGTCACTCCCCCCACGGCTGGGATGGGGCATGAATTTTTCCCACTCAAAACCAGGACACGAGGAGTGTGCCTCGGTGTCCAGTGTACCTCCAGTCTTCCACTTTAGTCCACATCGCTGCGCACACCTGAAGAACCAGTATTTGAAAAAGGCCGCTACAAACCTTACCTTCTCTCAGGAGGTGGTATGGCAGCGAGGGCTTCCCAGCACCCCTTACAGCCAGTACAACTTTGACCATCTCTACAAGGCAGGCCACATCATCCAGCCTCCTCAGATCAGCAGGGCCCAATGCGAGAAACCCACTGGCCTCAAGTCCTTGCGTTCTTCAGGTCCCTTAGCAAGGGTCACCTCCCAGGCTGTGAAGACAGAAAGGTCTGCCAATCTTAAGAAGCAGCTGAAGGAATCCAAGCCAGCAAGTGTGGGCCAGGAAAAATCTTGCCCTCTCATCCCTCATTCCTGCAGGGATCCAGACATGCCAGGTCTGTCACTTTCTCCAGACATGAACCTGGAGGAGAGGGAAGCCTGGCTGCCACCCCCTGAGAAGGAGGCCAGAGCCTGGGAAGCCATCGTGCTGGAAAAGCTGAACAAGCGCACCGCCCGATGGATCCAGAGCAAACGTCCTCTGAGGCCTGGGGTATCCCCCAACAAGTGGCAGAGATTTCTGTGCCAGCAATATGACTGGAGCCACATCCGGGATGAGCTTACTTCCGCTAGCGACCTGGAGCTACTGAAACAGCTAGAGGAAGAAGAAACAGCAGAATTTGAGGAGGAAAGTGTTATCCTGCCCACCCAGGAGAGAGACAAGCCAGAGCTGCTGCTTCCTGTTTATTATAGGTACGTTGGCTGGGGCCTCAGGCACACCTTTGAGAACCTGTGGGTCCCCTTCCAGGACTCCAGGGTTGGTTCACATTCCTTATTTCAGAACACGCTGTCCCACCAACCTCTTGTGTTCTCCACTGTCAGCTTGTTCTCTACGATCTCCTTAAAGTAAGGTGCTCAACCAGGCACTACTGACATCCTGGGGTGGACAATTCTTTGTTGTGTGGGGCTCTCTTGTGCCTTGTAGGATGTTTAGTAGCATCCCACTGGATGCCAGAAGCACTCTCCAGTTGGGACAACCAAAGATGTCTCCAGACATTGACACATATCCCCTTAAGGGACCCCAATCGTGGTCCCTTAGCAGACTGAGCTATTTTGCTGTCTAGGTGCTCTCAGAAATGTATCCATACCGAGAGAGAGAAGGCAGAGATCTCAAGGCTCTGAGGTTTGGTTCTGTCTCACTTTGAATAAGGAGCCACTGTGTCACTGATGCAAAAACTGACTGGCAACCAGACAGAGAACTAAATAACCTGAGGGTTGATTACTGCATATTTCTCAGATTGCTTTCTTCTCACTTGTAGCTCGAGGGAAGACCAGAGCTATTACAATATCTGATTCCCAAAAGTGAACTAAAAGTGAAGTGGGAATCCATTTATTTGTTCATTTATTGGACAAACATAAAGTGCCTTCCTACTCCTTGCCAGGTACTCTGCAAGGTGCTGGGAATACAACGTAAACGAGAGACCCTTTAAGGAGCTTATGACCTGTTCACTGGGGTTGACAGTCTTTAAATAACCACACACACGATAAAGTGAAGTAATGTAGGAATTGGTTCTCTTCCCCAAGTCCATGTAACCTCTAAGGGCACCATGTTAAAAAAGGTACTGCTGGGAGCCTGGCTACTCTACCATGCTGCCCAGTGGCTGCAGGAGTGGCTCCACTGGAGGAGGAGGAAGGTGGCTTCAGACAGGCCCTTCTGGCGGGCCTGAATATTCATTTGGCACTTTGGGACAAGGCCGATAGTTAAACATAGGTGTTTTCCAGATGTTCATGTGTGTGTGAGGTGAGCTTAAAGAGGAGTGAGCTATGGGTCTGCTGGAAGGCAGGAGGCCCATCTCCTCTTTCCTACCTTTCCCTTTTCTCTCTCTCCCTCCTGCTAAGATTGCCCAATTACTTGCCACAAGTGCAGAGAGCTGAAGCTATGCCTGGCAACAATGAGACTGCTGAGGATATCAAAGCAAAGAAGAACATCTGCCAGCCCCCAAAGCAGAGCCACTTCCGGCAGGTGAATCGGCGAGCTGGAAAGTTTGCTTACTCCACAGACAACACCTATGAACAGGAGATATACTTTGGTAATAGAGCTGGGGTGCTGTGCTGAGGGCTGAGGTGGACATGGAGCAGGGAGGTGGAAGGCAGCTGGGGAATGAAATAGTCATGGGTGTGGATGAGAGGCCCTTGAAGACCAACATCCCCTCATGACTAGCACAGAGGGTTGTCTTGGCAAGGGGCAGGCAGGTATCTGGTGGGGAGGAATCTGTTGCCCCATTCCTTGCTCTATCCCTTTATCTTACTAAGAAGGTTGTGGAGTGTGGGGTTGTAAAGCAAACAAGATTTGGCTTGGAGAACAACTACCTCTTCTCCTTTCTCTCCTTTGGAGATAATCCCCCATTGAGCTGCTATATTAGAAAAAAATCACAGGCTTTGAAGTCTGGAGGATCCTGGCTTAGCCCTTCCCTACTAACTTTAGCAAATTATATAATCCCTCTGAGCCTTATTTGTAAAACGATATTAACAAAAATGCACTTAAAGCCTGGGTGGCTCGTCACTTAAGCGTTTGCCTTTGGCTCAGGTCATGATCTCAGGGTCCCAAGATCGAGCCCCACATCAGGCTCCCTGCTCACAGGAACCCTGCTTCTCCCTCTCCTTGCTCGTGCTGTCTCTCCCTATCTCTCTCTCTCTCTCTAATAAATAAATAAAATGTTTTTAAAAAAAAAAAGCACTTCAAGTAAAGAACAGACAGGAAAGCATCTATAATGCTTCTTGCTCAATGCTCAATAAATGTCCATTACCTTCCCCTTCCACCTTGCTATCCTTTCAATGCCTGGGCTTCCAAGATATATGATCTAGGTCTGTATGTTCCAAGCTGTTTATTCTTCCTTGCCCCCATCTTGTTCCTAAACTGTCAACTCAAAGTCTTCTTAAAGTGTTTTAACGGAATTATTCAGATGAAGTTATTTATGACTGATAAGAAATGAATTAGATACCCCTTTATTGGGACTTAGCTTTTCATAGGGGACAATGCCTGTAAGTTAAGGCGGGTTCTGCCTCAGCTTCCAAGCCTCTATGAGACTACTAGCTCCTATTTCCAAGCCACAGTCACCTTCAAAGGATGCCCCCACTTCACGACAATCATGAGTCTTTGGGGCTGAAGAGTAAGGCAGAAGGAAATTGGGTGTGATCCTGGTGACTGAAAACCCAGCAAGAGAGGAAGGAGGGTGGTACTAGGGACTCCATATTTCTTTTATCTGTTCACAGATCAAGTCCAGATCATACACCAGATTGGTGGAAAGACAGACCACATTTTCCTGGAAAACCTCAATTGCTACAAGAAGCAGCTGTCTAAAGTCTTCCCCGAAACCCCAGAAAGGTGGACTTCCCAGCCAGTTCCTGAAGCACGTAAGCAGGAAGTGGGTAATAGGGGTGATGATGGAAGTGCACTATTTTTTTTTAATATTTATTTATTTGAGAGAGAGAGAGAGCGCGCACATGCATGAGTGTGTGCACAAGCCAGGGTAAGGGGCAGAGGGAGAGGATCTTAAGCAGACTCCCTGCTGAGCGCAGAGCCCCAAGCGGGGCTCAATCTCACGACCCTGAGATCATGATCTGAGCGGAAATCAAGAGCCAGACACTTAACCGACTGAGCCACCCAGGTGCCCCAGAAATGGGGCTATTTCTTTAAGGACTCTGTTTTATAGGCTGGGTATCACCAGTATGTAGGGGAGTCCCTTCCTACTAACTAAAAATCATCTCATAAAATTATAAAACACTAACTGTAACTAGAAAGAGCCTTTGTGGAACATCCATTCAGTTGAAATCAGATCAAACTTAGGTGTAACCAAGAGATTTAGGGCCAGGAATTACCAGTGAGGCAGGACCCATCTTCTTCCCATGCTTCCAGAGGAAGTTACATCAAACCCTTGATCCAGCACTCTACCTTGTCCCTTTGGGCTGGTTCTACCTTCCCATTCCATTCTCAGGCCCATACCTGTCTCAGGTACTAGGGTCATCCTCTGTTCTATATTTCTGTTTCATAAGCATGTTTTTCTTAATTCTGTGAGACAGAGAGAGGGAAGGGAGTTGGCCAAGAAATGAGCTTATGAAACAAAAAGTACCCATCCTCCAAGAGACAATGCTTCCATGTCCCCTGACTTTTCTTTGCAGGGTCACTGTTCTGGTGGGCCCCTTCGTGTGCAGAAACTAATGGTACTAGTGGAGAAAGCACCCCAGCAAAGCCTAGGACTGGGTCTAGGCAAGTCCCCTTCTAGGGCTTCACGTGCTTCATTAGAGCTGAGACGCTAATCATTCCTACAGTAAGGCACTTTGGAAATACTTACTGATTTTGTGATATTTATTGATACTTAGGTGACTTTGCGAATGCATTTTATAAACCATTAAGTGCTCAAACTCAAGGAATTATTATTAGTATACTACTTTCCCCACAAGGCAACTGTATTGTGTATGCCCTCCCCTCTGAGAATAGGCAAAACCACAAAGACAGTTGTTCAGTGGTTGCTAGGGGAAGGGAGGAATCAGCACAGGGTTTCTTTTTGGGGTGATAAAAATATCCTAAAATTAGACATTGTGATAGTTGTACAACTCTGTGAATATATTAAAAACCACTGAATTGGATACATTTTAAAAGGATGAATTTTATGGTATGTGAATTCTACCTCACAGCTCTTATAAAAAAAACAAATCCCCCTGCTGGATTCAGATGTCTCACCACCTGTCTCACTGGCTTCACACTTTTCCTCGACTGTGCTAGATGCCTGCCCTCTTTTCCCCAGAACATAGAACATCTAATGAACAAAGAAGCTCTAGAATCTTTCCCAAACTTCTTTTTTTAAAATAGCGTTTGAAATTGAGGGGGCCTGGCTGGCTTAGTTGGTGGGAGTATGCGACTCTTAATCTCAGGGTCGGGAGTTCAAGCCCCATGTTGGGTGTGGAGCCTACTTAAAAAAATAATAAATAGGGGCACCTGGGTGGCTCAGTCAGTTGAGCGTCTCCCTTCAACTCAGGTCTGATCTCAGGGTCCTGGGATCGAGCCCCCTGTCGGGCTCCCTGCTCAGTGGGGAGTCTGCTTTTCCCTCTCCTTCTGCTCCTCCCCCCTGCTTATGCTCTCTGTCTCTCTCAAATAATCTTTAAAAAAATATTTGAAATTGATCTGGGAGAAGTAAAGTCAGAATAGTAACAGACACACCTTCTTATAACTATTTCATTCATCGTCTCATTCAGGAAATACTAGGTAATGAAAGAACCTAAAAAACAAAAGAAAATTCCTGGAGTTAGGAGGTATGGGTAGATTTTTTTTACTCTCCATTTTGATTGAATTGAAAACCTTAGATGATGATTTCTTTAAAATGATGAAAATTCTCAAGATACAAAGTGTATTTCTTGCTATATAGCCTTAATTTCCCCCAAGTTGTGATATAAAACTCTCTAGTACATCCAGATCATTACGGTTCTTCTCTAGTAAGCACATGTCTACAGTACAAAGTGAAAGGCACCATCTGTTTCTGCCGACAAAGTATACTGTGCCTTTTATCCCAGAGAAAGCCAAAGGGTTGTCTGTGTGCTCGCGTCAGAGGACTTTTGATGTGGAATGTGGCTAGTGGATGTGTTTATACCTGCCTAGAACTCAAAGGGCTGGAAGTAAAATTAATATTGGCAGTTGTGCATGTTTATTCCCACACAGGTTAAATACCAGAGATCCAAGGCTTTCTCACATCCTTTTTAACTCCCTGAGCAGGGGGATATAGGAGGAAAGGGACTAGACTAATCTGGCCACTACTCACTTCCATGGGAGGGATTTCAAGCAGGCTGAGAGGAGAGAAATGGGGGAGTATCATAGTATCGACTCACTGGGAGCTGACCTGTCCGGAGGTGGTTCTACCTCTCTGGCTGTAAACCCTATACTGCAAAGGAAGCCAGCTCTCAACAGGGTGACGGAGTACCCCCAGCTGGGGGAGAACCATTTGGAGGGTATGCTCTGTATAGCATCTGAGCTAAACTGCCTTGGAGTCTCAAAGACTCTTTTTACATTAGAAGAAAGAAATGGCATTGCCTTTCTTGCTCAAAGGAAAGAAAGGATTTAGAACAAATCTAAACAAGTTAGTTAGAATGAAATCTTGAAGAGACACAAACCTTTTGGTAGTGACAGATTAGAGCATGAGGCTGATAAGCAATGCCACAGATCATGAACTTGGTAATCTGGAAATTTTTTTATATTTTTTGCGTTCTCCACACAACTGCTCTTCTTAGGAAGAGACTTTCTGAATCTGACACCAGGGAGATCACGAAGTCTAGAAAACATAACAACTATAACTGTATTTTTATAATACGTTCTGTCCTCAAATTTCCAGCTGTTGTCATAATGCGGAAAAACTCAGAGATGTGAAAATCTTTCAAACTTAGCAGTTTGTAGCAGCATTCCTCTTCCCAAATTAGAAACATTAAAAAGAAACATAAAAAAGTCAGCACCTGGCTGGCTCAGTCAGAACATGTGACTCTTAATCTTGGTGTCATGAGTTCAAACCCCATGTTCGCTGTAGAGATCACTTACAAATAAATAAACTTAAAAAAAAAAAAAAGATTTGAGAGAGAGAAAGCATGCATGTGCGCCCGAGCAGGGGGAGGGGCAGAGAGAGAGAGAATCCTCAAGCGACTCCCAGCTGAGCTCGGGGCCTGACAGGGGCCTCGACCCCAGGACACTGAGATCATGACCTGAGCCAAAATCAAGTCGGACGCTTAACTGACTGAGCCACCCAGGCACCCCAATAAATAAACAAACTTAAAAAAAAAGAAGGGGTGCCTGGGTGTCTCGTCATTGGGCGTCTGCCTTCGGCTCAGGTCATGGTCCCAGGGTCCTGGGATCAAGCCCCACATCGGGCTCCCTGTTCTGAGGGAAGCCTGCTTCTCCCTCTCCCACTCCCCATGCTTGTGTTCCCTCTCTCGCTGTGTCTCTCTCTGTCAAATAAATAAATCTTGAAAAAAAAAAAAAAAGAAAACCTAATAAACTAGGAATGGACAATTACACTCTAAATTGCAATATATCAGATACTGAATTTTAAGCAAAACCTTATTACATATAAACAAATTTTATTGTTATATTATGTATATATGTATATATATGTTAATATATATATACATTATATTAAATGTATAAAAAGGCTTATATATATCTCAGCTCCCCCCATCATGGCTTTATCATGTCTGTCATCAGGACTTCTCCCAACTCCCTATGAGTTGTACTTAGTTCCCTGTATAACCATGGGAAAGTTTGTTCTCGAGAGTTTTGTTTTGCCTTGGTGCTGGTCAGGAGCAGGATGTAATGGCAGCTGGGAACCCAGGGCCTAGGGCAGGGGGGTAAGCCTATCTCACACTGCATAGCCTGCAGGCCTGTAAAAGGAGCTCCGCGCTGGACAGCTTTGCCCACTCCAGTCAGAAATCTGCTGCCCCAGGTGGGTGAGGAGGATGTTGCCATTAAGACCAGGAGACAGAAGCAGCAGAAGGAATCACTGAAGGAGGATGTGACTTGGGAACTGGTGGTCCTGCAGAGGATGCTGCAGGAATGGAAGACTGCCTGGGCTCTGAGTGAGTGAAGGGGCAGGGGTGGGTCCAGAGATACCAGTAAACATGTGAGGGAGGAGGTTCTTACCTTGGACTCGTGTTTCTCATCTATGAAAAGCCATCCCTCTCTTGTGAAGACCTACAAATCTGGTTACCTCATCAGGGTGTCACTAGAGGAGAGCCTTTCTATCTAACCCTCACCATATGGTTTTCTTCTCACTTCCCCCCCTGCGGCATAGCCGTTGAGTGGCACCACAAGACAACAGAGGGCCTGCTGCAGGGCTTGGTAGACGTGCATGACGACATTCGGATCCAAGCCATCATTACATGTGCCACAGCTGCTGTAGAATGGCCCCGGATTGCCACCAGCCAGGGGGACTCAGGTGAGAGCCAGAACTTAACTGCTTGAGAATATAAGCAACTCATACAGCCACAGACAGTGATAACTGGTGTGGACTTTCGAGCTTATCTGAGATCATTTTACAAACAAAACCGAGGCCCAGAGACTGGCCTGAATATACACAGCTTATCAGCAAGAGATAAAATTCCTGACTTTTGGTCCAGTGCTTTCGGTACTACATTTCATTACCTTTTGTTTGCTCAGCAGGTTCAAGGAAGTTCACATTGTTCCACCCTGAGAGCTCCCATTTGTAATAGCCCCAAATTATATATAGTTTGTGTGTATATACACATACATTATATATATATGTATATACACACTTTTTTATATAAACCTAAGTTGATTAGGTTTTCCTTTTTTTTTTTTTTTAAGATTTATTTATTTGACAGAGAGAGACAGCGAGAGAGGGAACACAAGCAGGGGGAGTGGGAGAGGGAGAAGCAGGCTTCCCGCCGGGCAGAGAGCCCGATGCGGGGCTCGATCCCAGGACCCTGGGATCATGACCTGAGCCGAAGGCAGACGCTCAATGACTGAGCCACCCAGGCGCCCCCCATCTAGCCTATTCTTAACAAATGGCATAGCAGCCTGCAGTGATAATAAGACAGACAGATTAGAAATCCTAAAATCTTAGTCACAGATCCAGCTCTGCCACTTGGGAAGTCAGCCTATCTGAGCTTCAAATTCCTTACCTCTAAAATGAGGATAATTGTGGACTAAAGGTTAACAGGCCCTTTCCCCTTCTACTTGAGAATCTGGGCTTTAGTTAAAATGCCTACCTGTTGCCCTGATCTTTATAGGCAACATTGCTTATAGTAAACATGAACTCTGATAAATCACATCTGGACTGGGAAAACTGCAAGTGAGAGAGAAATGCCTTAAGGAGGTGCCATCCCTTGGGCTTCCACGAGTGCTGTGACTTCTAATAGGCAGGCCCTTTGTGGGCCTGGGACTAGATCTATGGACTTGTTATAAGACATACTCACTGCTGTGGAACACAGCACATGTCCCCAGAAGACTCTGTGGACGCCGTCCGAAGTGCCTGGAGAACTCTGGCCAGAAGGAATGCCTGATGCTGCCCTGTCGGCAAATCGTGCTCCCATCCTAGATCCTTCGAAGATTGGTGCTTCGTGTGGTCTGCGAGGCTTGTGAGTCTGACTGCTCCGATCTAAAAAGACTCCCAAAATGACATATTTCAGGTGAGCTCTGCAGTTAATACCTGCCTTGCCTACTTCCATGAGGGCTGCCACACTGAATGAGATGACTACAAAAACACTACAAACGGCAAAGCACCTTCTAAGTATAATTGCTATTATTATTAAAAATACAAAAATAGGGCGCCTGGGTGGCTCAGTTGGTTAAGCGACTGCCTTCGGCTCAGGTCATGATCCCAGAGTCCCGGGATCGAGTCCCACATCGGGCTCCCTGCTCAGCAGGGAGTCTGCTTCTCCCTCTGACCCTCTTCCCTCTCGTGCTCTCGATCTCTCATTCTCTCTCTCTCAAATAAACAAATAAAATCTTTAAAAAAAAATACAAAAATATAGGGGTGCCTGAGTGGCTCACTCGGTTAAGTGCCTTCAGTTCAGGTCATGAAGGCACTTCATGGGGGTCCTGGAATCGAGCTCCGCAGCGGGCTCCCTGCTGAGTGGGAAGCCTGCTTCTCCCTCTCCCTCTGCTGCTCCCTCTGCCTGTGCTCTGTCAAATATATAAAATCTTAAAAAAAAATACAAAAATATATATGATAAAGACATTGATTTTCATCACTAAAACTAATGGTGAAGGTCGCCATAGTCTAGCTGGAAACCTTCTGTGGCTTGAATCCAGCTGAGGCCAGGTGATCAAGGATTGGGAACAGGCATACCCAGCATAGAAGTGAGCCATAAAAGCCTGCCCATTTCAGGGGCTCAGCTAAACTCCAATTATATTAACTAGCAGTAAGCACCAGCAACTTAGACTGAGGTCAACCACTATGTGGCTATGGGAAAGAAACTGTGTTGGTGAAAATCAAAGGGGCTAGCACCCTCTTACCTGGTTCTCTTTTGATCACAGACAAGGAGACTGGGAAAGCCCCATCTGTCCAGGACTTGCCAGAGGTTCTACAGCCCGCCCTGGAGGCTGCTCTTTGTGACAAAAATGCCAATGTGCGGATGGCAGCAGCACTATGCCAGTATGCCATACAGTCGCATAATCCCCTTGCCCAGGACATCATGCACAGTGTCCTTTTGAAGGGTGAGTAACTCCCTGTCACTTCTGACCTGGAAATATGGGGTAAAGACAGGACACCTCACCACCAGCTTTTCCTAATCCTTTCTTCTCCAATATCTGTGAGGTCTACTGTATTAGGAGATTTGGGTTTATATTCATGAACATCCAGAGATAGCGGTTCCTAGGCACTTTTATAAAATAGGTACACTTCCACCTAGTGGTACCTGGGTGGCTAAGTGTTTCACAGGTGCATCTGCCTAGACACCATGCCCCCCGTTCACACAAATTCATTTGAGAGAGCGAGCATGTGAAAGCGAGGTGGGGGAGGGGCAGTGGACAGGGGGAGAGGGAGAATCTTACACACACTCCATACCCAGTGCCGAGCCCGACGTGGGGCTTGATCTCATAACCCTGAGATCATGATCTGAGCGGAAATCAAGAGCTGGACGCCTAACCAGCTGAGCCACCCAGGTGTCTCACAAATTTACTTAAAAAAAAAAAAAATTTATTTATATATGTATGTATGTAATCTCTACACCCAGCATGGGGCTCGGAATCACAACCCCGAGATCATGCTCTTCTCACTGAGCCAGCCAGGTGCCCCACGCACAGATTTAATTTAAAAAGATGACATAACAATATTGAATACTTTCTGAAAATTAAATCACCACTTGAACACATTGTTCTTCCATCTTTGCACATTAACTCACCGGTATCATCCACACACACTGTTGGAGTAATATAAGCAAGACAGTTGCCAGGTGCCCAACTTGCCTGACTGCTCTCTGAAAGAGTGCCTGTTCCTTCCTGTCCTGGGGGCACTGAGGAGATGGGCAGACAAGGATAGATGGCTGACTGGTTTGACCTTCTGCATATAGACCCTCAACAACTTAATCCATTTGTCTTAAGAAAGTCTCTACTCCAAGGGCCCCTGGGCGGCTCAGTCAGTGAAGCCTCTGCCTTCAGCTTAGGTCATGATCCCAGGCTCCTGGGATCAGGTCCTGAATCAAGCTCCACATTGGGCTCCCTGCTCAAGGGGAGTCTGCTTCTCCCTCTGCTCCTCCCCACTGCTTGCACTCTCTCTTGACTTCTCTCTCTCAAATAAATAAAATCTTAAAAAAAGAGAGAGACAGAGAGATGGAGTCTCCACTCCAGGCTTCCCAGTCTCTAGGGGAAGGAACAACTGTACCGCTCACCCAGGACTAAGAGCCTACTGCTGTTACCCAACAAGAGCGTTTTATGATTTGGGTGGCTCAGTCATTAAGCATCTGCCTTTGGCTCAGGTCATGGTCCCAGGGTCCTAGGATCAAGCCCCACATCGGGCTCCCTGCTTGGTGGGAAGCCTGCTTCTCCCTCTCCCACTCCCCCTGCTTGTGTTCCCTCTCTCGCTGTGTCTGTCAAATAAATAAATAAAATCTTAAAAAAAAAAGGAGCTTTTTAGGATTTGACTTCTCAGGTTAAGATTTTCAGTCTGTATTTAAAACCTTGATATGATCCATTTTAATACAGGCTTTGACTTCTATACTGAGCGGGGCACAGGGGAGTAAGATACCAGGCAGGTAACAGCCTTGGGTACCAACCCTGAGGCTGTTCTCTCTGCGGGAGAACAGATTGCTATTTTTTTCACCCCACCTGACAGGTAATAGCGTGGACAGCTGGGCTGCGGCTCAGTGCTTGGCTCTGGAAGGTGCTGCCACATACCCCGTGATTAAAAGGATCCTCCAGCAGCTGTTCAGTAAAAAGAATGACGACACTGAGTACCAGTCTTGTATGCTCCTGAGCCATCTCAGTGAGAAGACAGTATGTGTTCATTACAGGGTCAGGGAAAGAAACCAAGTTATGGGGAACATTTGAGTCTGAGGTCAGTTCATGTAAGGAATCGAAAATGCAGGTGGCTGAGTAAGATGGTAAGTGTAGTTAAGACGGGACTAAATGTGTGGGTGACCTGGGGTAGAGAGGCATACAGGTAAAAGGGACCCAGCCACCTGAGACAAAGGTGAGGAAAGTAGGCTGCAGGTGGTTTCTGCGTAGGCAAGAAGAGTTGTGATATGTAGAATGTGCTTCTGCCGAAAGTTTACCATTGAAAACTGCAGACCTACAAGTGTGTTTACTTTCAGTAGAAATGTGAAACTCACAAAGATTGAGGCATATACAAATCATCTTAGGAGTAAAGATAGTTAAAGAGAAGGACCCGGGAATTTTCTGTTCAGGTTACTAAATGTGTACTTTGTTCCCTGATTTAGGATTCCAAAGTCAGTTGGCTCAGATAGAAGAGTGCCCCATATCTTGTAAACCCACTCTTTCCTTGGCTAGGGATGGGCACCTCATGTACTTGTGACGTTAATTAGGCTGAATGCCATGTTAGAATCTAACACTTCAAGGCTCCAGCATCTCTAAAAGTTATCAGGAATATCCACCTAAGTCTTCCATTCCTCAGACCCTGATACACACCATGCTTGCTGTGGAGCTGAACAGCTACCAGTGGAAGGACCGGATCATAGCCTGCCGGGTTCTCTCACAGGTCGGCGGGAATGTCAGTTTGGTAAGCCTTCTGTGTTTCCAGGACAGAAAGTCTAAGCAAAAGGAGGTTGGGAAGCCCTTCCACTTTTTGCTGCTATTTAATATCCCATTCTTACCGAGCAGATCTTTGTCTCTACCTTGCTACCCTAGTCCTAACCCAGAATTATCTTCATATGCCAACATGTCTTTCTGACTCAAGGCACCTGGCTTCTTAGCATGGTGGCAGTTCACCAGTTGTAACCCACTCACAATGAAATAAGCAAAAAAAAAACAAAAACAAAAAAACCCTAGGAAAATTTAGAAACTTTTATAGTACTTTGACATTGCCTTAACATGAATGTACTGTGTAAGTACCAGCCAATAACATTCCTCACCACCACCCCCCGCCCTTGCCAAAACTGGTCCTTCACCAGATAGTTTGAGAAGCACTGACTTAAACTATCCAACAACCCAACCATACTTAGTGTCTATGTTGGCTCTGAGTGTTCAGCACATAGAGAAGGTATAAAACACAGTCCCTACTTCAAAAAGGCTGACATTATAGTTGGAATAACAATACTAACATATACAAATGATTCACGGACAAGTGATAAATGTACAGTACGCTCTTATAACTTTTCAGAGAGAGACATTAGTGTAGGCTGAACCTATCCAAGTTCTGGGAAGGAGTGTGGAACAGCTGGGCAAGACTTGGACAGAACATAAGAGGGACTTCCAGGTGGAGGAAACCTTGACCATCATTTGAGCTTTCACTTGACTTGCTTCTTGCCATTATTTTTAAATCATCTTCAGCTGTCCAAATGGGGGCTTCCCCTTCTTCCTATGTGCCACTATATCTTTTCCTTCTAACACCGAGTACCTCCAAAATGGCCCAGAACACCGCCATTCTCATGAGAAGTTAACACCCTCCACCCTTGGACCCTCACATTTTGAGCAGAAAGCACAAAATCTGGTCATTCAGTATAATCATCTGAACATGTTTTAGTCTGAGTTAATTCTGACCCAGTTGCCAGGGACCCTTCCTCTTAAGTCCTGACCAGCAAGCAGCACAGTTTTCACCTGGGAGCTTGTGAGAAGGGCAGAATCTCACCTCAGGCTCACTCAATCAGAATCTGCATTTTAACAACATCTTATTCATTTGCACATTCACCTCCTTAGCACCTGTCACTCAGGATTGCCAACTGAAAATAAAAAGACATGCAGAGCAGGCAGGGAACTGACCTGGCAAAGATGAGAACTTCACGTCAGGCTGCTGGAATGAAAGGCACCATGTCCATCAGTCCTTCTACTCATTCAGTAAGCAGTGTCTGACCACATCCTACATGCTCAGCACTATGCCAGCATTAGGGATGCAAAAATACTGTCTTTTCTTGGTAAATGTTATAAATAGCTGTAACAGAGGCAACTGTAAAGCATTATGGGGATTTCCTATGCTTACAGAGGGCAGAGGAGAGTTCACAGAGATGCTTTCTGAGAGAAATCCTAAAAGAGTAGGGAAACATTCCACCACGTAGAGGTGGAAGAGAGATGTTTCAGGCAAGGAGAATAGCTTGAGCACATTGACACAGTGATGAACTACAACTGTAGTAATCTTGGTCTCTTCCCTTCTGAATGAAGTACTAATATATAGGGTGGCCAACTGTCCTGGTTTGTCCAGGACATGAGTTTTAGTACTAAAACCCAGAAAAGTCCCAGGCAAACTGGGATGAGCATCACCTTATTAGTGTATAATCATCAAATGTTAAGTCCCTCAAGTACAGATAACGTTGGTCCTGACATAGTATAGCAGTTTAAAGCAGAAAGCTTATAAAACAGACTGGGTCTTGAGTCCTGGCTCTAGCATCCAACAGGTTAATCTTGGGCAAGTAAACCTAAGCCTCCCTTCTGTCATCTGTAAATGGTAATCTGCTTCATTGGATTGTTTGGGAGGATTAAGTGATGGGTAAAAACACCTGGCACAGTACCAAGCACGAAACTGACATTCAATAAATGGCAGCTAATTATTACTCCTATTTATAGGATATGAAACATAAATTGATCCAGATGATGCTGAGTGACTGGAATAAGGAAGTAAGACATGCAGCTGCCCAAGCTCTGGGGCGAATGAGCTTTGGGAAAGAGGTGTACAATACCATCAGGTAAAACCTAGTTAACATGAACTCAGGGAAACTTTTCTCAAGTGTTTAGGAAGCCTGGGATCCAGGCAGCCAGCATCTGTTGAGTTGCTTCGTATGCTCAGCATTGTACGGGGTCCCACTGCAGGATTATTTTAAAAATAAAAAATTACCAGTCCCTATAGACACTAACAATGTGGCTAAGGAAAGAATCAGAGTGCCCATTAGGTGTTAAGCACTGTTTTGGATGTTTGAGAGTTCGAAAGTACATGATTCTGATTATATAGGCAAGATACACAAATGCTTTGTAAGGTTATCTTTCAGGGAGGATGGATTAGACTACATAGGCAGAGAGAAGGAAAGACATTCCAGGCTGGGAGCCGAATAAAAATACAAAAATGAGGGTGGCACATGTGAGGACATGTGAAGAGAACTTGACTGTAGCAAGAGCTACATGAAAGTTTCCTTTATGGAGCCATTCAACATCATTTAGTGCCTAGCATATGCTAGTAATAGGGGTTGAAATAAGACAGTTGCGATCTCTCCCCAGTGAAACTTAACCTCATGGGCATAAGGCTGACTAGGAAAGGGTGGGAATGGATAATGGAGAGCCTACAGACGTTGGATTTTATTTTGAGGGCATTACTGGTGGTGGTGGTGGGAATGCCAAAGTTTAAGGAAGGAAAATAAAAGCACTTGTGCCTTCCAGAGTCAAGTTGAGTCAAGGAAATTTCCAGGAGCGTGTGGAAGCTCTCTCCCTGATTGGTGGGCTCAAGGTCATGACTGCCAGGCTTCTCCCAAGCTTCCTGAGCTGCTTCTCTGATGACTTCATGGCAGTTCGGCGGGCAGCCTGTTTGGCAGCAGGTGCCCTGCAGATCCGCGATAAGATGGTGAGTCAAAGAAACATTCCCATCTTACCTGATTAACCTGAAGAGGGCATTACCCTGAGCTTCCCTTGTTGTGCACACTACACTCACCATTCTGTGGACACACAGAATGAAAGATCAGAACCGGGAAGGTGAGGGGGTAGATTGGCCACATCAATGAGTCAGTTAGGACCACATTTAGCCCCCAGGGAGCACAAGACTTAACTTTAGAGCACATCCTTGAATCCTGAATCCTGTTCTCACCTCAGTTATGGGCTTTAGGATCAACTCCAGTGAATGGAGTTACAATCCCTATTAGGGGAAAACCTGATTGGAGGTGTTCTAAAGAAGCCTGTATGACCACAGAACTATGGGTTGAGGAAAATCAATCTAGATAGGAGATAATTCAGCTAATACACTACTGTGCAGGCTAGTACTTCAGCTTCCAGCTCATTTGTCACTAGAATTGATAGAAGCCCATTTTTCAGTGATAGCACGGTTTAGAGATAAGAGGGGTCCCTGCCTCTGGTTCATTCTTGCTCTGATTCTCTCCACTCAACACTGCCCTTTTATTCATCTCAGGTCCTTGAATGCCTTTTGAATCTGATACAGAGGGATCCTTACTGGAAAATCAAGGCATTTGCCATTCAAGGTAGTATGGGAGTGGCCCCAGCTTTTCAACCTCAAATACCTTCTCACATGCTGGTATAAATCCCCAGACTCTCCCTAGGAAGGGGATAGAATGTAGGGGAAGAGATGGTTACACCTTCTCAGAAGTTCTTGCCTGAGAAATTGAAAATTATTTTCTTCTTTTTAATTTTTCGTTAAGGATTCTGAGTCTAGGTTTATGTCAATCTGTTAAGGCAAAGGGCTAAAAAGACAGTCCCTGCCAACAGATTTAGTACTAAGTTCTAAATAGGTATCTGCTATTGGATACACTTGCTCTGGAGGCCTCAACTACAGGACCCTGTAAAAGACCAGATTGAAGACTGCTGCCGACTTAAAACCCTGACCTCAAACTTTCCTAGAGTTTCTTTTTAAGGATTTTTGGCATTCCTGCTCTCGTTGACCATCTTTGCCTTAGGTAAACCTGTTAAGTAGTTGTGTCTCCTTTCCCCATTATCTTGCCTTGACTAGGCTGGTCTTCTGGGTTATCTGTCCCATATCTCATTCCCTACATAAATAAGTAAATTAGTGTATTCTCCCATCCTAATGGGCAAGGATGGGATGGATCCTCCCTCCTCATCCCCACAGGAATCCTTTGGAGATGTCCTACTCTAACCCATCTCTAAAATTCTAATGATAATTGTCATCTAAAAGAGAAGACACTAACAAAATAGTTTAATGTTTGCAATACTTAATTTAACAGGCAGCTGTCTACATATTATTACTGTTATTTGTTAATAAGGCCATTTCTGGATGTTAGGATACAGCCAACTCCATCTTAAGTGACAGTGGAATATGCTGTCCTCTAATCTCTGCAGCTTTGGGTCAGATTGGCCAAGTGAGTCCCCAGCTGACAGACCTCCTGCTCTGGGCCATCCATTATGAAGAGTCACCAGGTGTACGACTAGAAGCTTGCCGTAGCATCCTAGCCCTCAATCTTCAAGGGGACCGGGTCAGAGACACCTTCCTAGATGCGCTGCTCCTAGAGAACCATGAGGCTGTTCTAAAGTAAGCTGTAAACCTGAATCCTGCCACAACTTCTTGTACTGCGAACTCTCCCATCCTTTTTAACAGAATATATCCCTGCCTTTCTAGGACGCCTAATGGCTCTAAGTACAGGCTCACCTGTGCCATTCACCTACCTACCTAAGTGGGTAATAGAAAAACTGGCCTAAATTGAATGAAAAGTCAGGTTATGTAGTTCACATACCTGTTCTCCATGCCAGGTGGCTTTAAATGATTCATTTATTCAGCCAACATTTATCAAGTGCCTACTGTGATGACAGGCTTTAAGAGTCAAAAAGACCAGAGTTTGAATCCCAGCTCAGGCATACACTAGCTGTGTGAACATGGGTAGCTACTTAAACTTTCTGAGCTCATTTTTTCAGATATCAAATGCAGATAATTGTCTGCCTTATGGGTCTGTGGCAATGATTAAAGGGGTGACATGTTTAGTATCCACTATAAGTGTTCAATAAATGGTACCATTAGTATCTTCCCAAATATATCATTTTAAAAACTATACAACATCCTTATAAGCTAAGCATCATACCATTTTTGCAGATAAAGCTTAGCAAAACCGCAGTTAGGATTGGGATTGGAATTTAGGATTCTTGATTGATCCTACTCCTCTATTTTCTACCCTTATGCTTTTTTTTTTTTTAAGAATAAGAATGATCTGGGGCACCTGGGTGGCTCAGTCAGCTAAGTGTCTGCCTTTGGCTCAGGTCATGGTCCCAGGGTACTGGGATCGAGTCCCACATCGGGCTCCCTGCTCAGTGAGGAGTTTGCTTCTCCCTCTGCCCTCCCCCCCCCGCCCCCCGGCTCCTGCTCTCCAGTTCGCTCTCTCTCAAAAATAAATAAATAAAATCTTTAAAAAAAAAAGAAGAAAAAAGAGTAAGAACAATCTGGGACACCTGGGTGGCTCAGTTGGTTAAGCATCTGACTCTTGATTTCAGCTCAGGGTGTGGAGCCTACTTAGAATTCTGTCTCTCCCTCTGCCCTTCCCAGCCCCAACTTCCTAAATTAAAAAAAAAAAAAAAAAGGTAAGAATGATCTAAGAAGTTCCTTTTATCTTTCAGGGAAATTCACCAGGCAATGAAGATACTCAACTTAGAAAATGAAGGAAACCAAGAAATACTTCAGAAGATCAAGAACAGGGTAAGTTAAGTGCAAGCCATGTTTTCAAGAGAAAATTCAGGACTCTCAAGAGTTCCTCAGACCCTTTTCTCCATCACAGAAATACTTTCTACAACCACACAGTTACCGTATTTTCTGAAGATACAAAACATTTATGCAAAAATCACATTATAAAATCCTAGTAAAGACAAAGTAAAAACAATAATCCTGCCAACCCAATCAAGTAACCCTCAAAATGGGTTATTATTTCTGAAATACTTTTGTTTTCCCTTCCCCTCCCATTTTCTCCCCACCATCAACTAAACCCAAGTTGTTCTTTTTTTACAAGTAGACCTAGAGAAGGAATGAGTGACTGGAGCTAGCCCCCTTGATTTTTTCCTTTTTAACTTTCCTTAATCCCTAAACTGGGGTTTTACCAAAGGAATGCTCTAGCTGAACAGGTGGTTCCAATTTTTCAAAGTTGTTTGATGAGATGAAGAAATAGAGGGACAAAGACTTTAAAAATATAAGATTCTTTCTTCATATAATTCACCAAACCAGCTTCACACAAAGCAAGCATTTCTTAGCAGGTTCCTTTCATCATGCCCAAAAAGCTAAAGTAGATTTTTCATTAATGGGTATAAAAAATGTCCAACCAACATCAGAAGAATGCTGAGGGATTGTACCACCTAATACCAATAAGCACAATGCAGTAAGTTACTTTATTAATGGTTTTTGATGATTTGCAGCCTAATACAGTTTTTTTCAACATCATTTCTTCTGATCTAGATTCAAACACTAAGCCAAAAAGACTTGCTGACACAGAAAATATTCAAGATGGAGAGGGTCATAGGAAAAGTGAACGAAGAAACAAAACGTGTTTACTTGCAACCCAAGGAGGGGCAAAAACCACTGAAACTCCATACTTTTCTACAAGAAACTTTTCAGGGTAGGTTTCCAAGTGGTGAGTCGTATGCCTTGACTCCTTTAACAAGCCTCTTCTGGGATCTGGACATTTGGGGAGTTTAGTTTCTAGCCCTGTAGGAAGAGTCAGGAAAGGCTGCTACCTTTCGTTTTTGGCCACCATCTTCTCAGTCTTTTTATTTTTTTCCTGTCTGCTCCCTGGCTTTTATTTATTTGCTATTTTGTCCCTTAAAAAAAAAAAAGAATGATGGGTGCCTGGGTGGCTCAGTCGTTAAGCGGCTGCCTTCGGCTCAGGTCATGATCCCAGGGTCCTGGGATTGAGTCCCACATCGGGCTCCCTGCTCAGCGGGAAGCCTGCTTCCCCCTCTCCCCCTGCTTGTGTTCCTGCTCTCGCTGTCTCTGTCAAATAAATAAATAAAATCTTTAAAAAAAAAAAAAAAAAGAATGAGGTAGTTCCAATTGAACGGATTTGAAAGTTAGGTCAAAAAATGAGAGGTGAGGAAAACAAAACAGAAACTACTGTTATGTTTGATTAAGCATCAAAACAAAGCCTTTTAAGTTTACCTTTTAATAGCAGTTACCTCTGGAAAGTGGGGTTGGAGAACAAGCTATCACTTTATGTATATCCATGATTTCCCAACTTAAAAAAAACTTCATGAAGTCCTCAACCTTATATAACTGCACCTGTCAGTTATGGTGATAGGATCTTAAAAGTTCCAGACAACCTAAATGAAGTGCAGACATCAAGCTATACCAAAATATACTTACAAAATCTGCGTGCCCAGGCGTAGCAGCAGCCTCAGATCATTCAGTCAGCTGCCTACCAGCCACCACCCCAAACCCAGGTCTTCTGGCTCCAAGTCCAGTGCTCTCTCTGGTACACCAGGCTCTCTTCCACCAACCATGAGAACAAGTCACTTGCCAGGTTTGGGGAAGATTCCTCCAACTGCCAGAAAAAAATGAGAGTGGAAAGTAACTTGAACACCAGCCTTCCTTTCCTTCATGGCCAGCTTGCTACAAGTTGGTTGACTGAGGCACAAGTAGATGACATGCTGCCCTTTGGGAGCAATGCCAGCTACTGATGCAAACAAGCACTGAGCAAAAACATAATACACTCTTAACTTTTCCAATAGGATTGTGATGTTTGGGGTTCAAGTAGCATGATTAAAATAAATTACCCCCGAAGTTATAGAATTGGCCCCAATCCTACAACCACCCCAAGTTACCTTTCACCTCAGCCATTATAGATATTCCCTACACCCCCCACCACCCAATTCCTTCAATCACGTCACATAATAATCTAGCCTTAAGAGAAACATCCTTTGGCACTTTAATAACTTTTCTAACATACAAACTCATAGTAACAAACAGGATACTGACCCCAGCCCTCCCCCCAAACTGAGGAAAGAGAACTCAAATGAAGGATGCAAATCCCAAATAAAAACATCTAATGTCTCAAAGCAGAATGACACAGCAAGTGCTACACAGTACACTGAAGCCTGGGGGTGATGATGAGGCTGGTGCTCTGAAATGATCAGGGATCAAAGTTACTTCTGCAGAAAGACCTCCTTTTTCCACTTCCAACTTCTGCTTTTACTTTTGTGCTTAGATGAAGTGGTGATTCCTAGAAAACCGTCTGAAATTTGTGACATTAAAGCAGTCATAAAGGTAAATGTAAGCAGTCATAAAGGTAAATGGTTCTCAAGGTAAGAACATGAGTCCCCCCACCCCTCCCCCAGCCCCCTGCCAAAAAGGTGGTAATGGTGGTTAAGAGAATCACCACTGTCTTGCTTCCAGCAATCAACAAGAAACTAGTTCAGGTTAGAGGCATCTTGGTGAGCAGCAGCCCCTTGTCATATAGCATGGTTGCCAAGGAAAGCTGGTCCTCCACAGTGTCACAGGGCAGGTCCCCTACTCTCACAAACTCTGGGTAGGAGCGCAGCAAGAGTTCCATGGCATCAGCTTGCTGAGGGTATATCTCCAAGCACTTGGGCTCTTCCAGATGATAAACACGGGAGTTCTCCACTGTATAATAGAGAAACAAATGGCCTCCCTCACCCACCAGCCGAGCTATCCCATCCTGAAGCATGTGCACTTCTGTTTCTGTTGTCAACTGGGCCCCCACGTTCACAGGTTCGCCAGCCTCCCAGCGAATTGGGAGCCCATAAACACTTAGTGCCCTCTCCCTATCAGTCAGCACAGGGGGCAGAGAGTCGTGGATGAAGTCTTTGGCTCGCTGGTCAGCCACAGCATCGACAGGAGCAAAGTGTCCCAAGCGGGCAACCAGGACTCGCACCTTCTCCATAAAAGCCGTTCTTCGTGGATCCTTAGAATCCGAGTGCTGGGCCCCCATGTAATCCATGAAGTCTCGGGGGAGACCCCTTCGGAATTCCACATTTTCTTCCATTGCAGCCTGCACTGCCAAAGGCAGTACGGCCTCCAGGAAGTCGCCCCAGGTATTGCGCTGGTACGTGGACAAGGTGAGGTGCAGAGAGTGCACTCCATCCTGGCATTCGGCTTGGTGAATGAAGCCCCGAGGGAAATAGAGCAAATCTCCAGGTTCCAGCACGGTCTGCAGCACCGGCTCACCGAGGTCGTCCTGGCTGAAGTTGGGACTGGATGTCAGGGCCAGCTCCTCCGTCGGGACCCGGGGTCGGTACACGCGCCAGAGTTTCCTACCTTCCAGCTGCAGCACAAAAGCCTCGATGTCGTCGTAGTGCGGAGCAAAGCCCTGCGAGTTGGGGGGCGTGAGGTAAATGTTGGAGCCTGCCATGCTTCCAAACTGCTCCTGGAGCACAGCCAAAAACTGCCACACGGTGGTCGAGAAAGCCTGCGGACAGAGGAGGCGCAGGGAGCAGCCGGCCTGGTACAGAGACCAGGCGGCGGCGGGCAGCGCGCGGCCGGGCGGGTTCAGGGTCTCGCGCCGCCCGTTGACGTAGCGAGCTGCGTCCAGGTGCTGTCCGAACTGCACCTCCTCGTGGCGCAGCATGAAGTCCAGGTCTGCGGTGGAGAAAAGTCCCTGGTAGTAGGCGTGGTCCTGCCGCCGCACCAGCACCGCCTCCCGCTCCCACAGGCGCCGGTAGAAATGGTCGGGCGGCATGGGCGAGATGAGCCACTCGAAGAGGCGCGCTGCCCGCCGCCGGCTGCTGGGGATGCGGTTCAGCTCGGCCAGGACGCGCTGCAGCGGGGAGTCCCAGGCCAGCTCCCCGCCCGTGCTGTCCACCTGCGGCCCCGACAGCGTGGCGGGGGCCACGGACTGCGGGGCGGCCGCCAAGTGCTGGGCATTGCACAGCAGGGCCGAGGATTCTACCACGCGGGCCGGCGCGGCGGGCACCTCCACCAGGCGCGCGGGCGGCGCGGAAGCCGGCACCAGGCGCGCGGGCAGGGGGGGCGCCTCCACCAGGCGGGCCGGCGGGGTCTGCGCCTCCACCAGGCGGGCCGGCGGGGTCTGCGCCTCCACCAGGGAGCGGGGTGTCTGGAGGGAGCGGGCCGCGGGCGAGGCCTCCAGCAGCTCTGCAGGCCCCAGGTGGCCATACGGCTCCCGCCGGGCCGCATCGGGGATGGCCGCCGCCCCACTAGGCAGCGGGTCCCCCGGATCGTCGACCGTCGACTCCACCCTCGAGTCCTCCGAGTCCTCGCTGGGCAGCGTCTGGGCCCTCAGTGCGGCCATGCGGGACGCCACGCTTCTCCTTAGCTGCCTTCGGATCTTCCTGGGCCTTAGGGGCAGGGCCAGGACCGACCCGCTATGTGGCTGCTGCTGGCGCCGGCGTCTCAATCTCCCGCGCCTCAACAGCCCCGTGCTAGCCCGGAGCCCGTCCATGGCGGGAGCCCCTTCCGAGGCTGGCAGGGCTGGGCAGAAAAGGGATCTCGCTGGGAGCCACTGCGAGGCACTCTGGGAAGGGGGCGCGGCCTCCAGCCGCCTCCGGGTTGGCCACGCCTGCCATTCTTCCACCCGGCGCCTCCCGCTCGCCGGGCTGGCAATACTCAGCTTCTCGCCAGAATAGTGGTGTCCCTGCCGAATTAGCAAGGGTTCCACATTTGCAGGGCAATTTAAAAACCAATTTGCTGGGGACTCCGGGGGAAAGAAAGTTGTCTACTTATTTAACACTTCTTCTTTAATCTCTGTATATTGGGGTGTTCCCTAGGACGTCCTCATTTCTGAACAGCGTGTTCTCCCCCAACTTTGCACGGGAACGCGCACAATTCCTATTTTCAAGGAATGTTCTTGGGCAAAGATCGAGATTCCTCGGGCAAAGTTCAAATCTCGGGTCCACTGGGTCTTCTTTCTCAGCAGATGACGTCACTGATTGACTCCCTAATTTCCTTCCTTTCTTTGACCAATACAAAAGTCTCAGTCTTTTGAGGGTGGGGGGAGCCCCTGGCTGGCTCAGAATGTAGAGCAGAGCGTGTGATCCTTGATCTGAGTTGTGAGTTCAAGCCCCACGTTGGGGGTGGAGCCTACCTTAAAAAAAAAAAAGAATGCAAGGATATACAAAATCTGAGTCATTGCCCTCTATGATATGGGAAAGAAGTTATAAGCGTTTCTACGTGCGTTCTTGATATCTGCCCTTTCCACCCCATCTGGGGTTTTGTTTCATTAGCTGCGACTTCTCTCCTCAGAATCTTCGATCACACCTTCTCTGAATCTTAAATTGACCTCTTAAATCTGACCCTCTCATTTAACAGGCACTATTAAATGTGGTAGGCATGAGGGTGCAATTGTTGAGAACAGCAAGATCACTATTCTCTGTAAATATTGTTGCTTTGTACATGAAGATTGTATCTTCATTTGAATCATTTGAGATAAATTTCCAGGAATGGAATTGCTGGGTCAAAGGGCAAGATAGCTTTTGTGATTGTTAATAGGTTTTACCAAACTCCCTTCAAAAGGGTTTACCAAATTGCCCTTCTGAAGAGTTTTACAGTGTTGCAAGCAATTAGGAGTATGTTAGACTACATCTGTTCGATCCTTCCATCCTCTTCAGTCACACTCCTATCCAAACACTTGCCAAAGCTTTTATGTTTTACCCCTGTCCACGTGTCACATTCACCTTTTTAAATTTCTGACTGTAATATGGTCTAATACAGTGGTCCTCAAATGGGGTGATTTTGCCTCCCAAGAAACACTGGGGATGAGGGGGAATGTTAAAATATGCAGTGGGTAGAGGCCAGACATGCTGTTAAACACCTGCAGTGCAAAGGACACTCTCCCCCACCAGATAGTTATCTGACCCAGAATGTCACTAGTGCTGAGACCAAGAAACCTTGGTCTATTATAAGTAGTTTCCCAACTGGTCTCTAACTTTGATCTCTCCCTATGCCAGTTTATAACACAGGTAGCAACAACAAATTTTCTCAAGTTGTGGCCCCAGATTTACTATTACCTCACTCAAAACCCATCTGGTACTCCATCGACCAATCCGAGCTCCTCAGCTAGGTTCTGAAGTCACATAACATCACAGCTTTATCAGTCACAATTCCCCTAAGCTCTACTTCTAGAAGTTTAACTATTTGCTGTTCCTTGCCTGTGTTCGCCATACCTTTCTTTACTCATGCTATTTCCCCTAAATGCTGTCCTCCAAACGTCTTTTGTGAAAACCCTTATTAAAGCCCATTTCACATTCCATCTCCTCCTCAAAGTCCCTCGCATCTCTCTAATCACAAGAGAACTTTGAACTTTCACGTGAACTTAGCACCTTGTGCCTTGTATTGGTATATTATGTACTTGTCATTTTCCTTCCTAAACTCTTTCAAGGATGGTGGGATTTCAAAGAAAGGACTGCTGTATGCCTTTTTCTCTTGAGTTTAGTATACTGCCTTTCATACAGGAGGTGCACAGGAAATGTTTGCGGGAAGCAGACCAACTAGAATTGATTCCTTCTCACTCATTATCTGCGGCATTAGCTGAGTCAAGTTACTCTCTCCAGTCTCAGTAATCTCATCTGTAAAATGGGAATAATAATTGAACCTACTTCTTTTTTTTTTAAAGATTTTATTTATTTGACAGAGAGAGACAGCGAGAGAGGGAACACAAGCAGGGGGAGTGGGAGAGGGAGAAGCAGACTTCCCACCGAGCAGGGAGCCCGATGTGGGGCTTGATCCCAGGACCCTGTGATCATGACCCGAGCCAAAGACAGACACTTAACGACTGAGCCACCCAGGCTCTCCCGAACCTACTTCTTCAATGAGTTGTTGTAAGGTTAAAATAATGCATCTAAGGCACTTAGCACAGGGTCTAGTACAGAGCTAAACTTTTAAAAAATGATAGCTATAGTAATAATAATTTATTATTATGGAGCAAAGCCCTGTAAGATGGCTTGTGTGCGCTAGCCTGGTTTGGGGGACCTTGGAGTGGGGTGTGGGGATGTGGAGATTAAGATTATTTTTGCATATGTTCCGTGGAAATTTAAGTAAATCATATCAGACAAGTCCATTGTGTGAGGAACAGACCAGGAATCCAAGTATGAGCTAGGGTGGGGTGGGGGGAGCAATATGAGCTGATACCAAATGATAGTCTCCCAATTCCTGTGCCCTCGTTTAGGGCTGCAGTGTCTAGAAAGGACAGCAGGAGGGGCAGCCCTCTTCCTAACTGACACACAGGCTGTGTGCGCTGGCAAGGCCATAATATCAGATCCCTTGGGGAAATGTTGAAGAGGGCAGGTCTGGTTTGTCACTGGGAGTCTTAATTGCCTTTTAAGTGGGAGTGGTTTTCAATACACATCCTGCAGTGAACTAAGGGGATGAGCTGTTCTCCTCGGCTCACAAAGCTGGGTTATAAACTCAGCTAGAAGGGGGCTGTGAATGTATCTTTTCTACATCCGGTACAAACATCTCCTCCTCCCAGTCCTTCCTGTGACCTCATCTTTTCCTTTTTTCAATATTTTGTGATTTCCTCAAAGAATGTTGTTGCTATCTGTCTTAGAGATTCCCTTGTGACTGAGAGGCATCTTTTGGAGCCTGACTTATTTTAAATTTCATCACTTTTCCTGTGGTGCTACTGAGTTCTCACTCTAAGAGCTGATATTAATAACCATCTTCAGAAATACAATTGAATGACACGGAGTAATGTTCTTAATGTATCAGTGGGTGGGGAAATAAAAGACAAAATAAGTATTGTAGTAGGATCCCATTCGGGGGACATTTACGTATGTATAATGTGTGTGTGTATACCTGTCTAACCATATATCCGTCCATACTGTTAAAAAACAAAATTTGAATACATCTGAAGATCTAATTGGCTTTATTCAACAATTTATGAATCAGGCAGCATCCCATCTAGCAAGTAGCAAGGAACTCCAAGTTGTACAAAATGGCAGGTTTCTTGCTGGCAGAAAGAGGGTGGGACAAAGGAGTTAAAACTTTAGTTAAAACTTTAGTTAAAACGAAAAACCTTCTCTTAGGGGAAGGCAAGGGGTCTTATCATGCAGTTTACCTCACTGGTGCAGATCTGGAAATTCCAAACTAATTGGTATAAAATTCCACTGCTGGGAATGGCTAGAAGTGCAATTAGGTTAGGTGTTGAGGCTTGGTGGGGTTTAGCAAAAGTGACTCCACTGAGGCCTGTTGTTTCTTTCTAAGAATACATACTACTCAAGAAAGTTGGGGAGTCTTGGGCACCTGGGTGGCTCAGTTGGTTGAGCGACTGCCTTCGGCTCAGGTCATGATCCTGGAGTCCTTGGACTGAGTCCCGCATCAGGCTCCCTGCTCGGCAGGGAGTCTGCTTCTCCCTCTGACCCTCCCCCCTCTCGTGTGCTCTCTCTCTCTCTCATTCTCGCTCTCTCAAATAAATGAATAAATAAAATCTTTAAAAAAAAAATAAAGTTGGGGAGTCTCTTTACGCCACAATATTTAACAGCGATTATCTTTGGATGGTGGGATTCAGGTGATTTTTATTTTCTTCCTCTTTACTTATTTGTATGTTCTGGGTTTTCTACATAAAACATACATCGTGGGCGCCTGGGTGGCTCAGTTGGTTAGGCGACTGCCTTCGGCTCAGGTCATGATCCTGGAGTCCCGGGATCGAGTCCCGCATCGGGCTCCCCGCTTGGCGGGGAGTCTGCTTCTCCCTCTCGTGCTCTCTATCTCTCATTCTCTCTCTCTCTCTCAAATAAATAAATGAATAAATAAAATCTTAAAAAAAATAAACAAAACATACATCATTACTGAAACCCAAGTTTGGCTGCCCATCACTTGAAAGGCCAATACTCAAGAGACGAGTTTTTTGGAGAGGAGTGTGAGCTTTATTCCGGAGGCTGGCCACCTGAATAGGCCAACTCCCAGGCTTCTGCCTGGCCCAAGATTTTTAAAGGGGTTTAATCAGTTAAGGGAGTGCAGTGGTCTGTGACATTTCTTGAATATAGACGTGACGATGCCAGCTACAGAGTTATTTTGGTACTCGGAGGTTGTGCAAGAAGTTCTGGTTCCAAGGCACCTGGGTGGCTCAGTAGGTTAAGAGTCCGACTCTTGATTTTGGCTCAGGTCATGATCTCAGGGTCGTAAGATGGAGCCCTGCATCAGGCTTCACGCTCAGTGGGGAGTCTGCTTGTGATTCTCTCCCTCTCCTTCTGCCCCTCCCCCCACGCGCACACTCTCAAATAAATCAATCTTAAAATAAATAAATTAAGTAAGTAAGTAAGTCAGTCAGTTCTGGTTCCTTGGTGCCCAGGGGTTATGCAAGAGTAAGTACTCTGTTCTTTCTGCAAAGGAGGGCAAGTTCTACAGATGCGCAAAGGGAGGCCAGTAAAGTCATTTGTGTGACCTTAAAAATGAAAAACATTTTGCTAAAAGATTGCTGGGCTAATCAGAAAGCTAAGGGGGCTT